TCTGTACATAGTGGTTGAAAAATATTGTTTAAACACTTATATAATAATAATAATGCTAAGACTAATAATTAGTCACGGTAAATATTAGACTAAAATCTAGTGGTAATAATACTAGGTTTCGTCGAAGGAAATTATATTGTTAAGAAGCGAAGTGTTGTCCGAGTTTGGAATCATCACTTTAACAAGTGAGTGCATAGTTACTTTCATCTTACACATAGATATGAAGTATTTTATATAAATTACGTGCTATGTGTGCATATTATTTGAATACTTGTTTTATATGCTGGATGAACGATTTTATACATGTTTTAAATAATTTAAACTGTCTATGTATTTTATATATACGAATATGTTAGGTAAAACATGGGTAGATGAATGATGAGAGATGAAAGATGATATGAGTGAACATTGGCAGCTATAGACTTAGTGCCTAACAAATAACATCGGCAGCTATGGACTTAGTGCCTATCGAATAAACATTGGTAGCTATGGACTTAGTACCTGTTAGATAAACGTTGGTAGCTATGGACTTAGTACTTGTTAAATAAACGTTGGTAGCTATGGATTTAGTACCTATTAGCTGAACACTGGTAGCTATGGATTTAGTACCCGATGAATGAACTTTAGCAGCTATGGAATTAGTGTTTTACGAACGAGCATTGGCAGCTATGGACTTAGTGCCTGTCATATAAACCCTGTAAGAAATGGACTTCGGAATGAACGAATGCAGGATAAATGACTCTTTGGGTAGACCTTAAGAGTAAGGAAGATAATGGGGATGGGTAATTGGGTTGATTGTTTGATGTTTAAACATAATAATTAAATTATTGTGGGTTGAAAACCCTATGTACTCACCAGGTTTCCCAACTTGACCCACTCAAGTTTATTTGTATCACAGGTGTCGATATGAAGTTACATTACACTGAGAGATTAAAGAGATGTAGATCACTAGTGTAAATGAATGTAAGTTCTGTTTATGCTTATGTTTATGTATTGATGATGACATCCCAAATGTTTTAAAATTAACAAAAATACATTTCTTCGGAAATGTTTTGATAACGTATTTATCATGTTTTTTGGGGAACAAATTCCGCAACATTTTTTATTAAAAGAGGTACTCTGATTTTTATAAAGCATAAACAAAATCGGTCTTTTATGGCCGTGAAAATGGGGATGTCACACCTAGCCCCTTAGTGTGAACTTTGAAGCATTTGAGTGATTCTTTGTGTGTTTTGTGAAGAAGGAGGCCATTGAAGGAGTACTTGGGAGTCCATAGCTTGTAGATCAAGACTTTATTCTTCTTCAACATTCTCCAGGATGTATAAATCTTGAACCTTGATGATTCCTTTGATAAATCTAGCTAGTTATGGATTTTTATGAGCTTTTTGTCCCTTGATCTTGGTCCTAGTGAGTATGAGCTGCTCCAGACCTCATGAGTGGCATTTTCTATAATTTCTGAGCTTTTAGAGTGATAAAAATGGGAGCTTGGTCACCCCCATCCTTCCATGCTTGTGTCTTTGGGCATTGGAGTGTGTTTTGGAGTTAGGGCTTGGTATCATGCTCCTTTAATCCATGCAAAGGCATAAAGTCTAAGACTTTATCACTTAGGATGTTCTTTAGGACCAGATATGAGATTTGGATATTTGGTCCTTATGTATTAAGGACTTAATAAGAAGTTGGCAAAATAGAGCAATTACGCGGGGCGTAATCTTGGCTACACAGGACGTAGCCTAATTTTGCCCTGTTTCCATACGAAGGCTCTATGTTGGGCGTAGAGCATGGTACACATGGTGTAACCCCATAATTGGATTTTTGGTCAAAATGGGTTTTAAGTCAAGTAGGGTGGATTCTAGCCAAGGAAGGGTAAAAGGATATTTTACCCAGAAATAAATAGTGATTATGGGCTAAGACCCTTGAGTGTGAATTATTACTTTGATTTCTAATTAGGGTCGTATGGTGTATTGATTAGTGTGGGCAGTTTTAGTTTCGGCAGCTCGAGTGTGAAATTTATTTGTCTATAGATTGAGGTGAGTCTTCTCATTGTACTCATGGCTCGAAGGCACCAATGCCGACCCACTAGATTGTGTTATGTAGGATGCTAGCTGTCTTTGTGATACTTGCAATGAAGACCCTGGGGGTAGCCTGTGGCATTTGTATGAAAGACCATGGGGTGGCCCGTGGCACTTGTGTGTAAGACCTTAGGGTAGCCAAGGCACTGCAAGGGAAGACTATGGGAGCAGCCCATGGCAATGGTATGCAAGACCATGGGGGTAGCGCATGACACTTGTATGAAAGACCATGGGGGTAGCCCATGGCAATGTATGTATTTTATGTGGTATTTTAGGGAACTCACTAAGCTTTGTGCTTACAGTTTTGTGGTTTAACATTTTCAGGTACTTCCAGTTTGAAAGGGAAGGGCCCGACGTGATCGTATAACATCCCCTTGATTTTATTCCGCATTAACATTTGATTTTCACTCTTATGTTGATAATATTGTATACTATGGTTGATTTGGAACAAATTGGTTGTATTTTTGAATTTTTGAAAAATGAAAGTTTTACCACTGTTTTGGGATGTTACACTGACGGTCACCCTCCTCTGCCATACCTACAACCGCCTCTCTCCACCATCATCACTCTCCCATACGACTCTATCTCTCTACCTTTACACACATCAAAGATATCATCTCGGTTATTTACCGTCTCCTATAAGCCTTCACCTTCCCTTCCGGTTAAGGACCTATCTCCATATCCCTTCTCCTTTCTTCTTCATTGTAGTTTGGATCTATGAAACCTCTTCTCACTGTGTACTGTTACAAATTATGCCCCTTTTCTTGTTTCCATCCTTTCAAAAGTGGACATCTATAAGTTTGATCAATACGAGCTTCCAAGTGGGTATGGTGCATAAATTAAAAAATCTCGGAAAAAAAAAAAACAATCCTCAGTTTTGATTTATGATTCCCAAGTTTCTTGTTCAACAAAAAACTCTAAAGTCCACACATTTTTTTGTTGGGGTAACATTTGGGGACACAAAAACTCTAAAGTTTACACATGTTTATTGGTTGTACCCAATGTTGATTTTAGTGATTATTCTTTAAATTTGCACAAAAGTTTTCAAAATTTGCCAAAATATCGATTTCCCGGTTACAAGCAGACATGGCAAGCAATGTGACCGCTGACATGGCTTATTGGCTTATGTGACAAGCCACATCAATGCATGCATGTAAAAGGAGTAAAAACGGAGCGTTGATAAGATTCAAACTCAAGATACACTTGATGAGGAGACAAGAGCCTATCATTGAGCCTATGTGGGTTTTAGTTAAACACCTTTTGTTAAATTCTTGAGTAAATTACATGAATGATCCATGTGGTTAGGGGTAACTTGTGTGTTTGGCCCCTAACTTATTTCTTAATTCGGGCCATAACTATAACATGATTTTGTTGTGTGGTTGGCCCCCGCCCCACCTAAAATGATGTCAAAACTTGCACTATAACCATCTTCTTTATAAAGAATGTCCTCCCCTCATTAAACTTCTTCAAAAAAATTTGCAACCTGATCCTTAATATGTACATGATACTTAACCTAAATATTAATAGTGTAGTCTTTCTCCATTGTTTGCTAGTATGTGTTTTCCTTGCACAAAAAAGGATCAAAATCATCCATGACACTTGGATCCAATGTTGGTTTAATAAATATTTATCCATGTACCTAACCTTCCTTTTGGCCATTCTTTGTGGGTGTCGTCACAATCTTTACTATCATAGAAAAAATGATATACTGGCCTTGGACGTGAACATTGTTTCATTGTCATATAGAACTAGTTTTCTACGACATGACCTAATTCTATTTGAAACTTTTATCTTAGTTATGCACATAGGTTAAAAAATATCATATATTTCCTCCATCACCACTTTAAAACGGTGCCTTAAAAATATTGTCAATCTTTTCATTTCAGGTTCAATATAAATGCTGATATCTTTTTTTCTTAACAACATACTTTGATAAACCTAAAACATATTGGTCATTCCCTAGTGCTAGAAGACCATAATCCAAGCAAGCACATGGTTTTAGATAATAACAGAGAATAGGTTCATTAGTTCGCAATGAACTATACCCTAATTCCCTAAGTTCAAACAATATCATATTCAACTCATAAACCGAAAACTCATAGATGTCTATGTAATCAATGAAGTTCAAAACCTCGTCTATGTATCTTCTTCCTCGAGATCTTGTGAAAACACCACCATGTCTAATATAGTAATATGCAAAGTAAACAAGTTACTGAAACCATCTACAAAATTAAAAATAGGAAGATGGTGAGTAATTGATGCATAATACCACATGACAAACCAATAACAACAAACCTCGAGCTACCCTCCAACTCCTTGTACACAATGTTAACATCATATAAATATTTCTTCTATGAATGAACCATGTCGTTAGAACTATCCTCTATCTGAGATCAACAATTGTTTATTGCTTTTTCGCTTGATCGATATTTTTAAGGAGGTAATGTGATTGCTAAGAAACTCAACTTTGTAGAAGAAGAAGAAGAAAATGAGTTTCTTGAAAGGGAAGTGATTCGTACACAACAGTTTTTTGCCATATACAACAATTAATGCATTATATAGTTGTACAATACAACATTTTAAAGCATCAATTGTTGTGTATGGAGAAAAATTGTTGTGTATGGATTGAAACTAGTACGGATGATTAAGGGATGAGTTACGATCATGTTATTGCATAATGAAAACTTATAACATCGAAACAATTACAAAGGAAAATACGAAAAAAAAAACCTTGATGTGCTAGGTACTCAAGAAGGCTTAACGATCCATTTCTAACATCGTTTGACAAATGGACCAATTGTGTAAGAAAAGCCACCTAAAGGACTAATGGCGGAAAAAAATAAAAAATTGGATTAAACTGTGTGTGATCCAACAAGTAATTTAGTCTAATATTTATTTTATTTTCCCAGCTTAAAAAAAAAAAAAAAGCCTATGTGCCTATTTTTTCGGTTATCTTATGTGGGTATATATCTTTGGGCCATAATAAGAGTAATCCATGGGTCAAACGGGCCGTATCATAATTTTAATTTGAAATTAAATAGGTTAATTGGGCATAGGGAACCATTATTTTCGCGATCTTCTTTTTTTGTATTCGCGCCTGTGATTGATAGCCTTTCACCTGGTTCCTTCGTCGGCGTCACGGTGCAACATCCATCGTTACGCAGTCTTGCTTGGTTTTTTGTTATCTCTCATCTCTTGCTAGTGCAACACCAACAGTTCCACGGTAAGTTCTTGAACTATTGAGATTCTAATTGCCTAATTTGTTTGTTTGTTAACATTAGGGTTTTTGTGATTTGCTGCAAAAAGTACCCAATTTCATTTGTAATCTACGTTTTTGTATGGTTTTATTCTCAGTTTCTGTGTATACGCGCTTCATTTTAAGCAGTTTTTGTGTAGTTGAATGCTGGATTTTGATCTCCGGTTTCCTAAGATGAAACTTATTAAATTTTTGTAAACTCGTGCTCACAACTCAAGCGACATCTCCTTGACGGAAGTTTAGGTATACGAAATGGAAAATCGAATCTAATAGTATCAACAAAGACATTTCTTCCAACTCCTTAATTGAAGTTTTCTTGGAAATTATAATTGTCTTTAACATGCTTGTATATATGAAATGCATATCACTTTTGGAACAAAATGAGTCAGCAGGTCGACCTGCTCTGATACATGTTAGCAATAAGGGAAAGTAATTTTGAGAATTTACCAAAACCCTAATTATGGTTCGGGTTAAATGAAAGAAATATCAATATTAATATGTCCCTTATGGCCCTATAGCATGCTATTATGATTTCTTCTTATTACAACATTGTATTTTTGAAAAAGCTACCCAAGTATAGCAAAGTCATCTCAATACAAAGCAATTTTCACTGCTATAATAAGAAAGTTTTTGAAAGGACTGCAATGTTGCAGGTAGGCTTGATAGTTTTGATGAACTTATTGTTGCTACCAACTATGCCTCAACTCTTTAACACAATCATGATTCTATCTCCATAATGTTGTTAATGTCTCTTGGAAGTACATAACACTAGTTTTCTTCTTTGCAGGGTATTATGGTAAACTGCTACTGAAACTAGATTCTGTGGAGTGCCGATTCTATTCTACGTTTTGAAGGATATTTTTGGTAACGGAGACAAATGTTGGGCTCATTGCCGATTTTGCCCCTCCCGGCACCACCTTCCGATGGCAATCTGGGCCCACTTCCGCCATCCCAAGTACAAGATGAGCATATGCCAGAGGCTGAGGATGATCAGAATAAGTCCAATTCCCCCCCTGCATCAATCGCCACACACACCAGAACGATCGGAATCATACATCCACCACCAGACATCCGGACGATTGTTGACAAAACCGCCGGTTTTGTGGCAAAAAATGGACCAGAATTTGAAAAAAGAATCATCATTAGCAATGCAGCAAATCCCAAATTCAATTTCTTGAATGGTTCTGATCCCTATCACGCTTACTACCAACATCGCCTTTCAGAATTCCGTTCCCAGAATCAAAATCTGGCACTACAATCCGACGTGCCGCCACCGGAAACCACCCCGTCTTCCGCTCCGGCGGACAGTGATGCACCGGAGAAGACCGACCTGTCAGCAAAATTTCGACCCGTTCGGAAAATTCTCGACCCGCCGGAGGCTGAGCAGTACTCAATCCGGCTGCCGGAGGGGATCACCGGGGAGGAATTGGATATAATCAAACTCACTGCCCAATTTGTAGCAAGAAATGGGAAATCTTTTCTGACAGGATTAACGAGTCGTGAAAATAACAATCCTCAATTCCACTTTCTGAAGCCGACTCATAGTATGTTTATGTTCTTTACATCACTGGCGGATGCCTACTCGAAAGTCCTAATGCCGCCCAAAGGGTTGCCGGAAAAGCTAAAAAAAAGTGTTGCAGACATGACCACGGTGCTCGAACGGGGGTTGCACCGCCTCGAATGGGAGCAGTCTCAAGAACAGGCGAGACAGAAAGCTGAAGATGAAATTGAGCAAGAAAGATTGTTAATGTCCATGATCGATTGGCATGATTTTGTAGTGGTGGAAACTATTGATTTTGCAGATGATGAGGATGATGACTTGCCGCCTCCGATGACTCTCGAGGAGGTTATAAGGAGGAGCAAGATGGCGGCAGCGGTGGAGGAGGAGGAGGTGATGGAGCCCGGGAAGGAAGTTGAAATGGAAATGGATGAAGAGGAAGTACAACTTGTTCAAGAGGGTATGCGGGCGGCAAGTTTGGAAGAGAATGGTGATGATGGAAATGGAAACGGAAACGGAAAGGAGGTGGTTGCCGCCAGGGTGAGGGTTGTGGCGGAGGAAAACGAGCCGCCAATGAGGATCGTGAAGAACTGGAAGCGGCCGGAGGATCGGATTCCGGCGGAGCGAAATCCGACTAAATTCGTGGTTTCTCCGATCACCGGAGAATTAATTCCGGTCAGTGAGATGTCGGAGCATATGCGAATTTCTCTTATTGATCCGAAATATAAAGAACAAAAAGAGAGAATGTTTGCAAAGATTCGGGAGACAACACTTGCTCAAGATGATGAAATTTCTAAAAATATTGTGGGGCTTGCCCGAACCCGCCCGGATATTTTTGGGACAACCGAGGAGGAGGTGTCAAACGCGGTCAAACAAGAGATTGAGAAAAAGAATGATGAGCAGCCAAAACAAGTGATTTGGGATGGACACACCGGAAGTATTGGCCGGACTGCAACTCAGGCCATGTCCCAGAATGCCGATGATCTACTTGATGATGGCCGGAATCTTCCAGGTCCCGCTGCTCCTCCTCCACGGCCTGGTGTTCCGTCGGTTCGCCCGCTTCCTCCACCGCCTGGGCTCGCGTTGAATATGCCTCGTGTCCCCCCTGGTACGGTGCAGTACGCAGGTGTCCCGCCGCCAGTGAGGCCGCCCACGATGGTTATGCCACCAAGACAGGTGCCGCCTCCGCCGGCGATGCAAATGGGTTATGGTCAGCAGGGTTATATGAACCGGCCGCCGCTTCCGGTTAATCCGGCTAGTATTCCGGTGCCGCTGCCACCTGGATCTCAGTTTACGCCGATGCCACCGCGTCCTTTTATGACCCAACATGGGATGGTTATGGCTCCTCCACCGCCTATGCCTCAAGGAATTCTGCCGCCGCCGCCGCCGGAGGAAGCTCCTCCTCCACTTCCTGAAGAACCTGAGCCGAAGAAGCAAAGACTTGATGATTCTTTTCTTGTCCCTGAGGATCAGTTCTTGGCTCAACATCCGGTACTTTTCTTTTTTAAAACTCTTTTTCTTGGCTCGTAACTGAACATGCTACAAAAGGCATGATTGCCCTTCATTTAGTCATGTGTATTACTGTTATATGATTATTGATATATATATATATATATTTTTTATAGGGACCTATTCGTATTGCTGTATCGGTGCCAAATCTTGATGAAGGAAATCTAAAAGGACAAATACTTGAGATAACGATTCAGTCATTATCGGAGACAGTTGGGAGTTTGAAAGAGAAAATTGCTGGAGACATTCAGCTGCCAGCAAACAAACAGAAACTGAGTGGGAAGGCCGGGTTTTTGAAGGACAATTTGTCTCTTGCGTATTACAATGTTGGTGGAGGCGAAATGCTTTCTTTGTCTTTAAGAGAACGTGGTGGTCGGAAAAGGTAATTGCTAGTTCCGAAGCATGGCGGAATGGAATCAGCTATTACCAACAAATATGTAAAAGATTGCATTTTGCTCAATCAAATTTAGTGAAATATTTGTCCATCTACTGTTAAAGTTTTAGTAAGGATTATAGAGACTCTGCTAGTTATACCTAATTCCCCCTCTGCTATTTTGGTTGACAGTATCTTTTTTTTTTCCAAGTGATGTTTGAAAAAATGACCTTGATTTGGATGAAACGTTGATGTTTATTTTGGGTTGAGTGGTTTATGAGACAATGGTCGTTCAAGTTTGTGTGTAATAAAGAAAAACAGTATTCAAAATGATAGTAAAAAGTTTCAAACCGCAGTTAAGTTTTGTAATAACTAAAATCTGTCAACTTGAAATGAACTTTTCCTTTTGTTTGGAAAACGTATGTCCATGCTATTCGTTACATTATGTAAAGAATTAGAGTAGAATATCTCCAAGAAGTAAGCAGATCATGTGTACAAACATATAATTATTAAACATGAAGTGCAAGTTTACATAAAAACATCTATCATCTACGAACAAAAATCAAACTTCCTAGAGTCTATACATCCAATCTACCTTACACTTTGGGTTGTACAACTGACATTACGATCTTTCCTGCAAAAAGCTTATTCTTACTGCAACCTCTGAGTTGCAGACCACCAGTATCCGAACCCTTGCCTATTTCTAAAAAAGAAACACCTTGGGGAACCATGGGTCCTAATCCCTCCATCTGGGACTAGAAAATTGGAAGAACCCCGGTGATGGAAAACCCATGCCGGGAGAAGGTGGAGGTGGTGGCCGAGGACCAAAGATTCCTGATTGAGCGGCCGCCGGTGAAAATGAAAAATCCGGTGCGAGTGGCGGTGGAAACCGATAACCAGGAGAAAGCAACGGGTAAGGTGATAGAGGAGACAATAGATTCAAGTAACCAGAGGGTGATGAAAGAAGGAACTGAGAAGTTGGTGATGGCGGATTAAAAGGGCGGTTTGCTACCGGAGATTGAAGAAGTGGTGGTGGTGGTGGTCCGGTCATTCTTGGAGAAGGAAAAAGAGGTGGTGGTGGTGGTAGTCTTTGGCCTGAATCCAAGACGGAATGCTGAAGGTAACGCATATAAGCTGAGATAGGAGACTCTGCGGCGTTTGCCCACCCCATATGGTCACCGGAAGTCATTGGTGGTGGTTGGCCATATTGGGCGGCAGGTCTTGGCGGGAGAAGTGGCATTTGGGGCCTGTAGACGTTTATAGGTGCTAATCTTGGTGGACGCATTTTTTGCATTCGGATAGGTGAGCTCCGGTGAGGTCCAGGAGGTGGTTCTTGGTGGTGTGAAGGTGAACCAGTAAGACGTTGAACGGTATCTCGGAAATCATTCTTGTTGACGGTGTAGACCTGAGGGTACGGTGGTTGTATGGCCGGATTAGCGAAATACGGTGGTGGACTTTTCCTGATATTTTTTCCAATCTTGTTCACACCCAGATGCTCATCATGTCTATTACCAAAATAATTAGGATTATCCATTCTCAACTAAACGCCTTTCATCCAACACTTAACCTTCAACTTTTACTAAAACAGCAGTTTTTTCACGCGAATCGTTGAACATCAAACCCTCACGATCTCATACCATTCAAAATTCCCAACAATAACCAGATTTCCAATAACTGAATCGAATCGACTAAGCCCTAAAAACCAAATTCCAAATACATGAATGATAACATAAAGTAGAACAACAGAGACACCTTTGTTATAGCAATAGCATACTTCTAGATCAAATCAACTTTAATCGTTCTTTGCATAAGCGTAAAGAAAGAGGATTAAGAGTTGACTTTCGAGTGTGAAAGAAGAGTTGGATTAACAAAGAATGATAAAGTTTAGCGGATATTGCGGGTGAATTGTTGCTTTGTTAGATGAGAGAGACCAAGAAAGTCAAAGTCAAATATAAGGCTGTTTTACAAAAACGAGGTGTGACGATGCCACCAATCATAACTCTCGTAAAAAACTAATTGTTAGATAACATTACTCCGTTCTAACACTATTAGGTGTGGGCAACATGTTATTACATGGCAATATGTTATTACATGTTATCACACTTAAAAGGTGTCATGTAACATCCTACTCATACATGGGTGTTATAACACCTAAGGTGGAAATAAACAACATCTGATAATACCAATTATTTTTTATTTTTTTTTGATGTTTTTTTTTCTATATTTCGAATTTGTTTTTTTTATTTATTTATATCATAGTATTTATATTTATCATATAACTTAAATCATAAATTAAAAATAACATTTGAAAAGTAAAAATAAAATTTTAATAAATCTTAAATTAAAAACAACATTAAAAAAAGACAAAACTTCAAAAATGGTCCCAGTAGTTTTCGAAAATATCAAGTTTAGTCCCTAAGTTCAAAAAACCTCACAGATGGTCCCTGTGGTTTCAAAACTTTTAACAAATGG